CTCACCTCAGCCTCCCAAAGGCGTGGGATTACAGGCTGAGCCACCGAGCCCGGCTGTTATGTCTAATTCTTAACATCACAGGTTTAGAAAACACTTCTGATACTAAAGCTTTGGAAATTGGACATTCCTATGTCTACAGCTTTCATGTAATTCATGATTAAAGAAGATTCCTGATATTCAAAACAACCCTTGCTTTTCTTGACCTGGAATTACTTCTCCCAAATAGACCCTTTATATAGAAGGATTCATGCCATGAAAATCCCAAAGCTCCTGCAACCCATAAACATCACCACCTGCCAGAACGCCTGTGAGAATAGTCAAAGCCCGTCTCTGAGGAGGGAACGGGGATGAGAAGCAGAGTCATTGTCTAGAGAATGAGAGCCAACATCTGTCAAGTGCTTCCTAAAGTCTTTGCTCTCTTCTAAACATTTTACACATATAAATTCATTGAATCCTTACAACAATCTTTGGAAGTAAAAACTATTTTTAACTCCATTGTAGAGATGAGAAAACTGAGGCCAGAGATGTTAAACTCCCTGCTCGAAGTCTCTGAGATAATAAGTGACACAGTTAGGATTCACAGCCAGGCAGTCTGGCTCCAGAACCTGGGTCTTCCAGCCACTGCCCTCTGCCACCTCTCAACATGGAGCCTCTGGTCTAAGCTGTATAAAAACATCAGCGACATTTTCTGGGACACACGTCATTTCCTTCAATTCCAGCACCACCCTGTTGAGAACACCAACATGTCCATCCAGGGGCCCACCGTGGTAAGCACCTTATTAAACATCCAGCTGGGGAGAATGAAATCTGCATCCACAGCCCATGCTGTGAGCCCCAAACAGCTCAAGTGCTGCCACATGCACTGTGACATTGGGTTAGTCTTCCCAAGACCTCTGGAGAGACTGATGAGATAATATGGGATGGGCCTGTATCAATATTCCTGTCACCCTACAGTGAACGTGAGGTACCAATTTAGGCAGGGTGGTGGTATGTCTGTGTTGTTCCCCATTATGAAGCACTAGGGGATCGTACGGCAGAGCTCATCAGCAGTTGCCAACAAACCATACCATTATGTTGAGAAAATGACTTTAAGAAGAAAACAAAAGCTACAACATGGATAGACTCTGAAAACATTAGATTAGGCCATGTGAGAGAAGCCAGCCATAAAGGAGCATGTGACATATGATCCCATTTATATGAAGTGTCCACAACAAGCAAATCATAGAGACTGAAAGCTTACTGGAGGCTGGGGGGCCGTGGGAAGCGACTGTTGACAGGTACAGAGCTTCTTTGGGGGAGGGGGTGATAAAATGTTCTAAAATTGATTGTGGTGATGGTTGCACAACTCTTTGAATATAGTAAGAATGATTAAATGGCACACTTTAAAGGGGTGAATTGGATGATACATGAATTATATATCAACAAGGCTATTATAAAAAATAAAACAACACAGGAGCAAAGTCCCCACCTCACCCTGCCCAGCCCAGCCCACGAGCTGCTGGTACTCACTTTGAAGTCTTCGTGAAATCATCTGCCCAGCCTCCGTGTCGGCGAGGTGGTTTAGGAGGGGAAGTCTACAAGGAAAGAGACGCCAAAAAACACAGTCACTCAACATTCACCTTTAAACACCTCCACGGCTGGGGTTCAAGCCACTTCCACCAATATTCAGTCTACTTTTTAAATAAAAATACAGTAATCTTTCGAATTTATGAAGAAGATCTGGAGGCTTTCCTACCCTCCTGGTGTGTGTGTAAGTTGGCACAATGTTTCTGGAGGGAAATTTGATGAAACCTATTGAAAGCCTTAAAAATGTTCATACTTTTTCAGCCAGCAATTCTAACTCCAGAAATATATTCCAAGGAAACAATCAGAGCAACATGATGTTATCTGTGAATAGTAAATATTTGGAAACAACCAAAATGGCCAGCAATAAGGAATTAAGAAAATGGTGAAATACACACAAAATATGGTGCAAATAATGAAAAATTATGTTATAAAAATCCTTAATGATACGAGAAAGTTCAATATTTATTAATTTTCAAGAGCATGTTGTAAAACAGTAGATGTGTGCTCTCGATTTTTTGAAATAATTATTAATACACAATATCTAGTGTGGGCTATATGTACACAACTAGGAGGAGATTCCAACTATGGGCAATTTTAATTTTCCTTCTCTCTGCTGTTGTGCATCTTCCCATTTTTTTAAACAGTTAATTTATATTATTTCATAAAGAGAGAAACAATAAAATAAAGACACAAGAGTGAGGCTTGCTAAGAAGACATAAACTAAATTGGTGGGTAGACTAAACATATACTCAAGAGGCCCACCGCGTCTACCACCACTGTTGCCAGTACACTGTTCAAGGAGCTTGGGGACTGACTCACCCCTGCACGCCACTACCAGTACCCATGCATACCATTCAGGGACTTGAGGGACAGGCCCATACCATCTATCACCACCACTGCTGGCTCTCACACATGACATTCAGGGACCTATGATCAATCTGCCCCATTTATTACCACCGGTGCACATTTTCTGGAGGCCTGAGGACCAGTTTTCCCTGCCTGCCATTCACGCACACTGTCTGGGAACCTGAGGATAGGTTCACCTTAACTAGTATCAATGCCCATGTGCGCCTCCCAAAGACCTGGGAGCCAGCCTGCTAAATCTGCAGCTGCCACTGCTGCCAACAACCACCCACATGTACCACCTGGTGGCCCAGGAACTGGCCTTCCCAGACCACCATTACCACCACTGGTACCTGAGGAAGCCACCTGGAGGCCCAAGGACTGGCCCACCTGAATCCATCACTACCCCCAACCCTCATGTACACCACCTCATGGGGAGGGCTCAAGGACCAACATACCTGGCCTGCCACTGCCACCACTGGTGCCAAAAAACTAGCCTAGCTGGTGTCTCCATCTCCAGTAAAGCCTCACCACAGCCTCCACTAACAACCACAGCCTAAGTCACTGAGTAACTCACAGACACTACTACTGCTACTAATTATAGCTGAGGACTGTATGAAGACTATGCCACTGTGCTCACCCCAAATCAAAGCCAAAGCACCCTAACCAACCAACACTATAGATATAGCTAAAAGGAAAAGTATTTCCTTGTGAAAACCAATCCATAAAATTGGAAGAAGTAATGGTAATACCAGATGAACAGATACCAACATAAGAACACAAGATGTAAAAGCAAGGAAACATGACATCTCTAAAGAACACAATAATTCTCCAGTAACTGATCCTGATGAAAAGAAAATACATGAAACTCCTGAAAAAGAATGCAAAACAATCACATTAAAGAAAAGCAGTAAGATACAAGAGAACACAGATAAACAACATAAAAAAATCAGGAAAACAATTCATGATATAGATGAGAAATTCAACAAAGAGATAGATATCATTAAAAAAACTAATTAGAGATCTTGGAATCAAAGATTTCAATGAATGAAATAAAAAATACAATCAAGCACTTTAGCAATAGACTAATCAAGCAGAAGAAAGAATTTCTGAACTTAAGGACAGGTCTTTTGAAATAACTCAGTCAGCCCAAATAATATAAGAAAGAATAAAACAGAATGAAGAAGTAAGGTGAACCTACTTGACATATGGGACACCATACAGCAAATAAATATTTAAATTTGGGGAGTTCCAGAAGGAAAAGAGATGAACAAAGATATAGAAAACTTATTAATGAAATAATAGCTGAAAACTTCTCCATCTTGCAAGAGATACAGACATCCAGACACAGAAAGTACAAAGATCCTCAAACAGATTCAATTCAAAAAGGTCCTCTGCAAGGCATAGTATAGTCAAATTGTCAAAAGTTAAAGACAAAGAATACAAAATAGCAAAAGAAAAGTGTCAAGTCATATATTAGAGAATCTCTATCAGACTAGCAGTGGATTTCTCAGCAGAAACCTTACAGGCCAGGAGAGACTGGAATGATAGATTCAAAGTGCTGAAAGGAAAAAATAAACAAACAAATACAAACTGGTAGGCAAGAATACTATACCCAGCAAAGCTATCTTTCAAAAATAAAGAAATAAAGCATTTCCCAGATAAGAAAAAACTGAGGAAATTCATCACCCCTAGCCCATTCCTATAAGAAATGCTCAAGGGAGTCCTACATCTGGGAGTGAAAGAACAATATCTACCATCATGAAAATATAGGAGAGTAGAAAACTCACTAGTAGAATAGATACACAAATGAGAAAGAGAAGAGTCAAACATTACCATTACAGAAAACCATTAAACTTCAGTGATTAAAAAATAAGAGAGGAAGTATGGAACAAAGGATATATAAAACAACCAGAAAACAATTAATAAAATGACAGAAATAAGTCTTCAGCTATTAGAAATAACCTTGAATGTAAATGGATTAATTTCCTCACTTAAAAGATATAGACTGGCTGAATGAATTTTTAAAATGACCCAATTATATGCTGCCTAAAAGAAACTCACTTCACTTGTAAAGACATATAGACAAAGTGAAGAGATGGAAAATAATTCTTTGCAAATGAAAGCCAAATGCAGACAGGAATCATACTCAGTGATTTATCACAGAAACAAAGAACTGAGTTCCATATGTTCTCACTCATAAGGTGACCCTGAACCATTATAATGCTATAAGAAAGCGACTGGCAGTAGTTGAAAACTGTCAGGGGAGGTGGGGTGGGACTGGCAGTTGAGGGAAACTGCTAGGGGAGGGGGGGCATACCTCATCAACAAGGGTACCTGCATAATCAATGTTTGTATACCTAACCCTGAATTGTACCCCACATCTTTATAATAAATAAATTTACAAATATGTATATACTTATATCAGATAAAACAGACTGTAAAAAGAGACAAGACAATTATATAGTGATAAGAAATCAATTCATTAAAAGGCTATAACAAAATATATATGCACCAACACTGGATCATCCAGGTAATAAAAAGCAAATATTATTAGATTGAAATAGATTCCAATAAAATAAAAGTTGAGGACATCAACACCCCACTCTAAACATTAGACAAAAAGCCAACAAGGAAACATTAGATTTAAACCACACCTTAGGTCAGGCTCATGCCTATAATCCCAGCACTTTGGGAGGCCAAGGTGAGAGGATTGCCTGAGCTCATGGGTTCAAGACAAGCCTGGGCAACTTGGTGAGACCTCATCTCTACAAGAAATCAAAAAATTAGCCAGGTGTGGTAGCACACATCTGTAGTTCCAGCTACTTGGAAGGCTGAGGTAGAAGGCTCACCTGAGCCCAGAAGTGTGCTACTGCATTCCAGCCTGGGCAACAGAGTGAGACTCCAACTCAAAAAAAGGAAAAAACCACACCTTAAACCAAATAGACCTAACAGACATTTACAGAACATTTCATCTAACAGCTGTAGAATACACACTCTTCTCATCAACACATGTAAAATTTTCCAGGATAGACAGACACTATGTTAGGCCACAAAACAACTGTTAAGAAATTTTTAAAAACTAAAATATCAGGTATCTTCTCAGATGACAAAAGAATAAGACTACAAATCAATAACAAGAGGAATTATGGAAACTATACAAATACATGAAAATTAAACAACATGCTCTCATTGACTATTGGGTCAATGAAGGAATTAGAAAGGAAATTTTAAAATGTCTTTAAACAAATGAAAGTGGAAACACAACGTATCAAAACCTATGGGATACAGCAAAAGCAGAGGTAAGAAATAAACACCCACATCAAAAGAAAGAAATATTTCAAATAAACAAATATACCTTGAGGAACTAGAAACACAAGAACAAACCAAAGTGACAAAAGGAGAGAGATCATAAAGATCAGAGTAGAACTAAACAAAATAGAGACTAAAAAACTAGGAATTTTTTTAATGAATATATGAAACAAAAAGATGACTTTTTGAAAAGATAACACAATTGGCAAACTGCTAGCTAGACTAACCAAGAAATAAAAGAGAGAAGCCCCAAATAAATAAAGCCAGGAATGCAAAAAGGAGATACTACCCTGATGTCACAGAAATATGAAAAATTATTAGACATTATTATGAACTACTATACACTAATAAATTGGAAAACTCAGAGGAAATTCCTGGACACAAACAAACTACCAAGATTAAACCAGAAAGAAATAGAAAACCTGAATAGACCAATAACAAGTAATGAGATTGAATCAGTAATAGCAATCTCCCAAAAAAGAAAAACCCAGGACTAATAACTTTATTGGTGAATTCTATCAAACTTACAAAGAACTAGGCTGGGCACAGTAACTCACACCTATAATCCCAGCACCTTGGGAGGCTCAGGCAAGAGGATTGCTTGAGCCCAGGAGTTCATGACCAACCTAGGTGATACAGTGAGATCTCATCTCTACAAAAAAGCAAAAAATTAGGTGGGTGGGGAGGCACATGCCTATAGTCCCAACTATTTGGGAGGTTGAGATGGAAGGATCACCTGAGCCCAGGGGGTCAAGTCTGGGGTGAGCCATGATCATGCCACTGCACTCCAGCCTGGGTGTCATCATGAGACACTGACAAGAAGAGAGAGAAAGAGAAGAAGGAGGAAGGAGAA